GGTGTGCTCCGGGCTATCAGCTGGCTGAGGATGGCATGTCCTGTGTGGATGTGGATGAGTGCACAGAGCAGGGCAAGGAAACCTGCAGCCAGATCTGCCTCAATGCTCCAGGGACCTACAGCTGTGGCTGCCTCTCTGGCTACCTGCTGGAGCCTGATGGCCGCATCTGCAAACTCAGCGGTAAGTCCTAAGGAGGGCAGGCAGCATTGGGCACCTCCTGGTATGCCAGGAACCAGTGGGTACCTGCTCATGTGTGCCTCCCACCTGTGGAAAGTCCTGTGGTCCCCTCTCTGTCCCATTGGCTGATGCTTGTCTGCCCATGGCCATGGCAATAGGACTGCATCCCAGCAGGCTCTGATGCCTAAGATGGCCATGTTCCTTGGAGTCACCTGCACTGAGAGTCTCTGTGTCACCCCAGGACCAGAGCCCATGCTGCTGGTGGCTGTGCAATCAGAGGTGCTGTCCTATGGCCTTCGGAGTGGGCGCGAGGAGGTGCTGCTGACCACTGACAAGGAACGGACCGTCTTCTCACTCGACTATGACCTGGTGGAAAGGAAAATCTTCTGGATGGACCTGGCCACAGAGAGCATTTCCTGGCAGAGTCTAGATTCAAGCAAAAAGGGCACGCTGGTGAAAGGTAAGCTGTGATACCTTGGGGCTAGTGAGGCTGGCCTCTCCATGGCTTGGATGCAGTTGGGGTACCAGGCCGTGTCCCCTTGTATGGGAAAATTATAGAACCATAGAATGGCTTAGGTTGGAAGGAAACTTAAAGCCCACCAAGTTCCAACCTCCTGCCATGGGCAGGGTTGCCACCCACCAGCTCAGGCTGCCCAAGGGTCCCATCCAGCCTGGCCTTGAACACATCCCAGGACAGGACATCCACAGCTTCTCTGGGCAGCCTGTACCAGTGCCTCACCACCTTCTGGTGGGAGATGGTTAGGAGAACCCTGAGCTTGTGAGGTGATGGGGAACTAGGCTGTGAGCTTGGTGTCCCATGCAGCTGTCACTCTATGGGTGCTTACTCTTGGTCTTCTTGCAGGTGTAAGATCAGACTGTATCGCTGTGGACTGGCTTGGGAGGAACCTGTACTGGACAGATGGGGTGGCAGGGCAGGTGCTGGCCACTTCTCTGGGGACTGCCTGGCGAGGGAAACCAGAGTACACCATGGTGCTGGATGGAGACTTGGATCAGCCACACTCCCTGGTGCTCCAGCCTCTGGCTGGGTAAGGCTGGGGCCAGAGGACTTGGAGACCTTGCCTAGCCCATTGTCCCCCATAGAAGCAGACAACAGGCTGGGGGAGAGTTGGGTTGGCCTCAACTGAGTGCTGTTGCAGCTGTATGACAGGGGAAGAAGGAACCCAAGCATCTGCTCCTGCCCTGCGCGGAGCTCTCGGTGCATCCCTGATGGGATGGGAAACCCTGTGCTGCCCCTCCGTGCTGCCCTGTTGCTGCCCTGGTACTGGGCAGTGCCAGGTCTGTGGGCCAGCACTCTTCTTCTTGCCAGGATGCTATACTGGTCAGAGGTGGGGAACCAGCCACGGCTGATGGAGGCCACCATGGATGGAAGGCGGCAGCGTGTGCTGCTGGCACAGGGCCTTGGATGGCCCACAGCACTAGCCCTTGACCTCCCCACCTCGAGGCTCTTCTGGCTGGATGAAAAGCTGGGCAGTGTTGGTTCCACACATCTGGATGGCACCGATGTAAAGGTGTGCAGCTGGGGGTTCTGGTTATGGGGCTAGGTTGGATGCTGGCATTGATACTCACAGCCTCTCCTTCAGGTGCTGCAGCTGAGATGGGTCCAGAGCCCTTTTGCAGCGGCTGTGTGTGAGGACCAGCTCTACTGGTCAGAGAGGAAGGCATGGTCGGTGCAGCAGGTGGACAAGGCCACAGGCAAGAATAGGACGGTGCTGCTCAAGCGACATGGGCAGCCCCATGGCCTTCAGGTACCTATGTGGAGAGCCCAGACTCCTGCTGCACTCACTGCTGGGGCTCCCAACCTGCCATGTCCTGGGTGGCATTGAGAGCCGCACCTACTGCAGAAATGATCCCCTGGTCTCTGTGGTCCCTGTGGTTGAGAATCACCCATTCTCTTAAGGAGCATCTCCATGCTGGGCTGGTAGCCTGGCATGGCACTGGTTGTGCTCAGCTCTGCTGCTAGACACTGGGCTGAGCCTGCCCTTCCCCACAGGTGATGCACCCAGCCCTGCGCCTGGCAGCTCCCAACCCATGCACAGCCCGTGGCTGCTCCCACCTGTGCCTGCTGAGCAGCCGGCACGCTGGGCAGTGCCGATGCCCCATTGGGCTGACACTGGCTGCTGATGAGATCACCTGCCTGCCCCTCCACACTTCAGCCTTCGCCCTCCTGGTGTCACCAGCAGCTGTGATGCAGGTACCTCTGCAGAGCCAGGTCTCCTAGCTCCCTCCTGAGGAGCAGGGTCTTGGTACCAGAGCTGACTCCTTCCTCCAGGTCTACCTGAAGGACATGCCACGAACAGCTGGAGCCCAAGGCCTCCCCCCACACCGGGCTCTGCCTCTGGCCAAGGTAGTGCACTTGACAGCTGTCGACTACATGGTGAAGGACAAAAGCCTGTACTTCGCTGAGGTGGGGGGCAACTCCATTGGGATGCTGCGCCTGAAGGACTCGGGCCGACTCTCCTGGAAGAAGGTTGTTGCTGTGGAGGGCACGGTGGTGTCCCTGGCCGTGGACTGGCTGAGTGGAAACCTGTACTGGATCGAAGGGCAGCCCACTAGCATCCGTGTAGCCACAGCTGGGGGGCGGTGGGCCCTGATGCTGCTCAGCGAGGGGCTGCGGGGCGCTGCCTGGCTGGCCCTCTGCCCTCGCGCCTCCACCATGTGCTTCATAACAGCAGCAGGCAGCCGCAGGCCTGGTGCTGCAGTAGAGTGCGCAGCCATGGACGGCAGTGGCCGTAGAGTGGTGTGGAGCAGAGCCCGCTCTCCTGCTGGCCTCACTTTTGGGGGTGCCAGCACCCGGCTCTACTGGGCAGACCAGGGTGAGTGTGGGGAAGCATGGAGGGCAGTGGGGCTCAACCCAGCATGTCCACAAGGGGTGGCATTCTATGTCCCACGCTTGATACCCCCTGTGTCCGTGTCTGCAGAGCGTGGTGCGATTGGCAGTGTAGAGCTGGATGGGTCCCACTTCAGGCTGGTGCGGGAGGGACTGCATGGCCTCAGGCTCTTTGCCGTGGGAGATGGCTTTCTGCTCTGGTCAACATCTGCAACCAATGGTGAGGCCATCAAAGGGCTGCTGGGCTCCCTCCAGCTTCTGCTGTCCCAGGCCCCATGGGACACAGGGTAGTGGCAGGCCAGAGGAGCCCCATGCCAGGCAGTGCTGATCCTGTGTGTCCCCAGGCTCCAGCAAGGTCTGGCACAGCCGGCTGGAGCAGGCCAAGAGCTGGTGGTTCCTGATGGAGCAAGAGTTGGTGACCTTGAGAATTTACAGCCAGTTCTCACAGGAAGGTAGGTCTGGGGGTGCCCCAGCTCCTGGCTCCTGGAGCATCAAGCTCCGCGGAGGTCCTGCTAACAGATTCTCTCTCATCAGGCACCAACGGCTGCACAAAGAGCAATGGAGGCTGTGCCCAGCTCTGCTTGCCCAACCCTGCAGGGCGGCAGTGCCGCTGCTCCCCTGGATACCACCTGGTGCGTGGGGTGACTTGTGCTCCAGTTCCACCATGCCCAGCCCTGCTGCGAGCCTGCGCTGACCTCCAGAGCTGCATCTCCGCACAGCAGGTCTGCGACGGGCACCCCGACTGCACCGATGGCTCTGATGAGTTGGGCTGTGAGTGCCTGCATGCTGCTAGGAAATGCCAGAGATCCCTCATCTTGGGGTCTCATCCTGGTGCTCTGATCTATACTCATTCCCTCCAGGCACCTCTGAAGAGGCAAAGACACAGGTCCCCATGTTATCATCATCAAGGACATCCCGTGCAGAAGAGGAGAAATCAACTGTGCCCTCAGCTGCACCTCAGCAGCCCAGCCCCAGCCTGCCTGCAGCCCCTAGGCCCCGGCAGCACGGAGAACCCTTCCTGGCGACCCCAAACACAGAGGAGGTGCTGGGGGCCATGCCATGCAGCAGCGAGACATGCAATCTGCGCGGGGAGTGTGCCATCGAGGCTGGGCGGGTGATGTGCCACTGCGCCCTGGGCTACCGTGGGGACTACTGTGAGGAGGCAGAGGTGCAGCCCTTGGCAGGCCCCATCACCCTAGGGGTGGCTGTGCTTCTGTTGCTGGCTGCGGCAGCTGTGGGGGCCCTGGCCTACATGCGGAAGCGGGATAGGAGGAGGAGGTGAGCTGTAGGGCTGGACTGGGGATGGCTGCATGGAGAGCTGCAGCAGCCCAGCAGGGAGATGCTGTGTGTTGTGACAGGACCTAGGGATCTGCCCTGTCTCTGAGAAATGGTTCTGCTATCCTGCGGGTACCTTGTTTTTTTCCCCCAGGACCTCAAGCACTGCCTCCACCCGAGTGCTGACCCTGTACCACCGTGAAAGTGACCCTGAGGAAGAAGATGAGGAGGAGGAAGAGCTTCCACCCAAGAGCGATACCTTTGTGAATGAAGCTTATGATGGGAAAGAGGTGAGCTGGCCCTGCTCAGGACCCTCCTTGTAAAATCACAGAATGGCTTGTGCTGTAAAGGACTTTAAGGCCCACCCAGCTCCAACCCCCTGCCATGGGCTGGTTGTCCCCCCCAGATCAGGCTACCCAGGGCCCCATCCAGCCTGGCCACTCTGTCCATGACCCTTGTGCCAGGGTGCAGGCTGAGCCCAGAGAGGCTGGTTCAAATCTGTCCCTAATGCACTTCTCTGTGGTCTGTGCAGGAGCTGCCGGCCCGGCTTGGGAAGGGACCATCTCGCCCCAACACTGTACTTCCATAAAGGAACATCGTGCAGCATCTCTGTGCTGTGGTGGTTTGTGTGGGGGACAAGGAAGAGGGAGTACTCTGGGCTCATATAGGGTGGAAATATGGCCTAACAGCCCTGTAGGCAATCCAGGCCAGGCTTGGCTCCTGCCCTCTTTTGCAGGGATTTTATAGCACAGCTGTCTCTCACAAACCAGTGGGACCAGTTCTACTGCCTCCCACTAAGCTAACGATGGAAAGAGAAATATGTGCTATTTTTCTTCTCTGTGACTTTCCCTCCCCACCGAAGTGGCTGTGCTCAAGGAAAGAGAAACTTTTTCCTGAGCTGCTCTTAACCCTGGGGGGAAAGTCCTTGGGGAAGGCACCTGTAAAAGCACCTGTCCTCCTCCAGACCTTTCCTCCCTTCTCCAGGTGAAGCACGGTGGGGCAGGGTTGGCCATGCTTTGCTGGCTCTCAGCCAGTGTGCCTGGCAGAGAGCCCATAACTATGTTGCAGCACAGAGCTGTTCCTCCTCATTTATTTTGATGTTTGCTCAGCCCTAAATTGAGCAGACATTGGTTCCCCACCCTGCAGGCTGCACAGCACTAACTGGTGGCCCGCTCGCATGAGAACACTGCAGCTGCCTTAGCCCTGCATGGCACAGGGGACTGAGCTAAGAGCTGCACAGTGAGGCTGGAGCCAGGGCTGGAGCCAGTACAGCTTTGGCACAGTTGCAGAGCTGGGAGCATGGCTGCCTGCAGAGCTTCAAGCTGTGTCACTGTGCTGGAGCTACAGGTCCGAATCACAAGGCAGGGTGCTCCTCCCACGCCGCCCATCTCGCTCATCCTCCAGCACATCCCAGGGGTTGCTGTAGGCCCCAGTGATGGAGCGTGTCCCGTGTTCCAACACTGGGCTGGGGGGAGTTTTGGAGGCCCTGCGCTCCTTGCAGCAGTGGTGGAAGCTGAGAGTGAGGGCCACCCCCCCCAGGATCTCCAGGCAGCTACCCAGGTAGCTCAGCACCAAGCTGTAACCCACAGTCAGCGTGGCACCAGAGGGTGCAGGCAGTACCTCCAGCTCATGGGTGTACCAGGAGGCAGGCACCAGGCTCAGCAGACCCGAGAGCAGCAGCACAAGCCCCGAAGCACCAGCCAGTGCGTGCTGGGGTTCCTTCTGCCAGCACCGCACCCCCAGGGCAGCCACCACCAAGCCCAGCACTGTGAGCACCAGCGAGCTGGGCATCAGGCCTCGTGCCACCTGCACGGGCACCTCCTTGAAGTAGCCCAGCTCATCCTCCTGCCCGCAGAGGCGATCGTGGCTGCTCTGCCGCTCCCTGCACAGGTCCCAGATGCCCTGCTCCAAGATGAGGTCGGAGGGCTGATCGGGGATGAGGCTCACCTGCCTCCAGTTGGGTGCCAACGTGCCTGTCAGTGTCAGCAGGAGCCCGCAGGGGCAGAGCACCAGCCCCACGATCATCACGGCCGGTGTCCGCATGCTGGGAGAGTGGGCTCCAGGGTGGCTCTCTGAATCCTGCTGCTTCTGCTTGCTGAAAGCTGGGATTCTTGTGCAGCAGTGCCCGGTGAGCTGGGCAGGCTGCAGGAGGAAGTGCAGGCAGGGAGGAGCCGGCAGGCAGCGGGCAGGGCTGGCTGGCACCCAGCCGGCAGCATGGGCACGTGGGAGCCCCTGGTGCTCCACTCCCCCTTGCAGGTATATTGGGGGAAGTGAATTTATTGGTGAAAGCATTAATTCAGCAACTTGCAGAATTGGTAAGGATCCTGCAGTCCTTCACCAGCCCAAGAGACCTTCCTGGCCTTCATCTCCTTGCTCTTCCTCCCTGTGAGCATCTCCTGTACATCACTCCTAGCTCCTTCTGTGAGCCTTTGCTCCATAAAACGCCCAAGTCTTGGGCATTTCACAATTTCCCTGAATTTGTGCCAGTCACGCTGGGTCCAAGAGAGGGCAGCATTCTCTGTGGATTAATTTGGGATCATTCATCCCAGCCAGGCTGACTGCAGGTCTTCACCACAGTGTGCTTGCGCTGGTGGCCTCGGGCACATTAGAATCATAGAATTATTAGGGTTGGAAAAGACCTCTAAGAATATCCAAGTCCAACCCCAGCCCATCCCCACCATTCCACTGACCATGTCCCTCAGTGCCACATCCACACTGTTCCTGAACACCTCCGGGGACAGTGACTGTACCACCTCCCTGAGCAGCCTGTGCCACTGCATCACCACTCTTTCTGAGAAGAGATTCTTCCTAATACTCTGCTTGAACCTTGAGGTTCCCTGAAGGTTCTCTTTGGCTCTGTGAGTGCCACACCGCTGCGGAACTCATCGTGGAGCTGTGAGCCATGGAGCTCAGCTCCTGGTGATGGGAGCTTTGCAATTAAGCAGTGAGTTCAGGTGTAAGAGCCTGGACCCTTCCAGTTGGTTAACCCAGTAGCATGGCGTGTCTGCCCTTGGGCTGGTTCCTGACAGTAGGCTAACAATAAGCAAATTGGGTGATGTGGCCCTGATGCTTGGTATTCTGCCCTGAGTAATTTCAGGGAAGGAAATAGAATTAGCAGAGCTGTTTCCCAATGCTGCATTTATAGATTGTTCATTTCTTCCCTTTTACTTTTTAATGGGGGGGTGTGAAAAGCCATTCGAAGCAGAGGCTGGCCCTCTCTTACTCTGGGGAAGCATTCAAAGCCATCTGGTTGCAGAGATAGCGTGGGCTGGCTGACACAGCCTTCCTTCCCCCACTTCCCCAGCTGCTGGGTGGGAAAGCTGCCTTACTTGGTGCTTCCTCCTTCTGCAGGGCTGTGACTGAGTTTTTCCTACCTTGGCAAAGCCACATCTTTAAGATCCTGATGAAAACTCCATCTGGGCCTATTTGAGTGGGCTTGTGATTATTTAATCCCTGCCTCCATTAGTGTCTGCCTCAGGCCATGGTGATGACAGGATACAGCTCAGTGTAGGATCGGTGGCTTTGGGGTTACATCCATATGGAGCTGAGCTTGGTGAGAGAGCTGGACCTTGCCTGATGGAATGGGTTGCCCAGGGAGGTGGTGGAGTCACTGTTCCTGGAGGTGTTCAGAAATGTGGAGATATGGCACTGAGGGACATGGTTAGTGGGCATGATGGGTTGGGGGAGCTGGGGGTTGAACTGGATGATCTTGGAGGTCTTTTCCAACCTTAATGGTTCTACAATTTCACAAATGGGGAAAGCATGCCCACAACAGTCTCCCTCTGCCACCCTCGCTCTGATCCAGCTCAAGCTATGTTCCCTTTTAGAGGGAGGAGCATGCTCCATGCTGAACATGGGATGCTGAGACCAGCAGGACACGTTTTCCCCTCTCTCCTCTGTGCCGTAGGTCTGCAGCAGCAGTGGGATCTCAGCATCCTGTTTGCTGTGCTGGGAACAGCCAGGCTTGTTTAGCAGCAGCCTGCAGCTGGCAATTCCTGTTTACATCCTGCTGACCCTGAGGCTTCACTGGCCTCGTGCACAGTGAGATAGAGGAGCTGTGAGGCTGGAAGGGGCACCAGGCTGGCTCAGTGCCCTGCAGCTTGAATCCCCACCAGCCTTTGTGTGATGCCAGCTGGGTTATGCCTGAGCCCTGACCATTTGTTCTCTCATTATAAGAACTTGCAATGGCGCTGGCAGCCCCCTGCATTTGAGGTTGTTTAGACTTTGTTGTCTGAGCCTCCATCCCACAGGGAAATCTTCTTAGACGGGTGTCCAGGTGGATGGACCCAGTTCTGGCTGCTCTATTTGGCTAGTTTTTCATCTAGAATGGGGGTGTTTCTAGGAGTTTCAGGGTTTCCTGCCAGCTTGCCTTTAAGCAATAGCCTGGCTCTGCACTGTGCACCCAGCTGCAGCTGCAATGGGCTTCTCTCAAACAAGCTCCTGCCTGGGCACACTGCTGTCTTTGTGCTTGCCTGCAGGACACCAAGGACAAGTTCCTCGGCAGGACAGTCTGCAGCCCACAAGTGACTAAGGAATGGGCGCTCCGTGCCTTCCCACAGTCTGGACTCTGGTGGGCACCCAGCACAGATCCAGCTCTCAGGCCGTGGCTTCTGCCAGATTTATTGGCTTTCCATTTACCAATTGACCCACATGCTGGAGACCACAGCCCCAAGGCTGCACTTTAGGGGGATCATCAGAGCTCAGGGGCTGTGAGATCTCCCCTTTGTGACCCAGGACCATGACTCAACACTAGTTTATCATACATAGGCCATGGTCTATAGGAGTCTTGGCTGCTCCCCCCCAGCTCAAAACTCACCGTGAGGAGCTGCATATACCCCTGCAAGCTGGGGAGCACATCCCATGACTCCTGCAGGGAGCAGCAGACCTCAGTTTTGCCTCTACAGCCCAGCTGTGACAGAACAAAGCAGACTACATCCTGGGAACGAGTTGTTGAAAGCACGATTAGACGCCCCCCAGGTGTTCACTCATCTGTTAAACTCCCTTGCTTCCAAACCGCTGCATTTGGGCTTGTCAGATTGCCTAGCGTTTCTTCAGAGCCTCAGCTTCCTGTTCAGACAGTGATGGAAAAAGTGCTTTTGCAGCTATTTCTATTTTAGTCTGCCTCACTTCTGAAATGGCTGAGAGTGGTTTGGACGTGAGGTTACTGCTCTGGGATTTTGGGGTGCAGACAGAGAGAAGAGAGCTGTGTCTGGCTGCTGTGGGGAGCTAATGGCAGTGCTGGTGCCCACAGGTGCTGAGCGTGCGGCAACAGGCAGAGTGAGAGCAGTGCTTTGTGACTGGGTTCACTGAGCTGCAGTACCTGTGACTCACCCACTCGTACTTTGCTCTCTCTTTGGGCTGAAAGGCTTGAACCCAAAGCACAGCTGGTTTATGGCTGTGGCTGCCTGGACTGCTCTCTATGGGTCAAAACTCTTGGCATATGACCATGCTGCAGGAGGAAAGAGCTGCTTAAACCGTTCCTATTGAGAAGGGGTGGATGAATCTCTTGATTTAGGCCAAAGGAGTATTCTCAGGGCTGTCTTTTTTCTCTAAATTAGCTGTTTCTTTTAATTTTGCCCACTTGGATCATACAGATCCAGGAGATGGCTTCCTTCCACCACCTGCATGCTTTGAGCATAGCTGTGGGACCTTTGCTGGGACTGTTGAAGCTGCAGTATGAATCACAGAATCAGTAAGGTTGGAAAAGATCTGTCAGATCATCACGTCCAGACACCAGCGTATCCCCACCATGCCTACTAACCACATCCCTCAGTGCCACATCTTTACAGTTCTTCAACACCTCCAGGGACAGTGACTGCACCACCTCCCTGGGCAGCCTTTGCCGATGCACCACCACTGTGTCTGAGAAGAAATTCTTCCTAATATCCAACCAGAACATGCAGTGAACATGCAATATGAATTAGCAGGGAAACAAGGGAAGAAATTAGATGTCCTGGAGCAACAGGTACTTCAGAGGAGCGTCAAGCACAAGCAGTAAGACAAAGCAATTTACAGCTGTGTGTCACACACCCAGCATGCGTTGCTAGACAATAGCCATAAATATCAGAGCTTTGTCATGAAGGAAGGCATGGAAAACTGCCAACCCACGAGCTAGGGGAGGAATATTTTCATTTGCCATGGTTCCAGTCCTCTCATCATAGATTCACTGTATCGAGGGCACCACAGGCAGTCCTGTCTGGAGGACATTTTGCTGCTGAATTTCAAAGGCTGCTGCAAAATCATCAGGGTGTGAAAGCTTTTTATAAAAAGTCACAGGAATCATCTCTTTTCCCTAAAATGAAGAAATTAAGATGGCACAAAATGGTTTTTAAGAAGAAGCAGTTGTCTGCTTCTTAGCCTACATATCAGCCTGGAGGTACATCTGAATGAATTCTTGCACGTTGATTTTCCGGGCACTGAGTTATGGATCTCTAATTTGCCTTTAACCCTCTCAAACAGGGCACTGTGCTCATTCTTTGCCTTGGTCCTGCTCCAGCCTTCCCACAGTTCTTGGAGAGTATGGCTTGGGAACTGGAGATAGCTCCTCCTCTGATCATGGGTGTTGCTATAGCTCACACACATTTCACCCAGCTAAAAGTTCGTGAACCTCATCTTTCGCAATCCTGGCCCATTTCCCGACCCCTTTTCTGTTCATCGTCAAGGCTAAGTGCTGGGGCAAGGCTTTGGCTTAGTAACAGAAGGTGCCTAAGAGAGAGACTGCAAAGTTTCGGATAATTTTCTTTCTATCTTGGTGCTCTGTGGAGGGTAATTGATCCTTTCAGTGAGTTATTCACCTCTAGATCCAACTTGTATGTGAAAGACAAATGCAAGAAAGTCAGTAGTGTCATCGGCTTCTTCCATTTGCTTTGCTCACACGACCAGTAGTAATGGTCTCACCCACCCTTCAGTCCTTCCTCTTCATCCTTCAGTTGTTGCTTCTTATGCCCATCACTGGCTTTGCAGCATCTGACCTGTTTTTCTACTGGTAGATGATCATTGGCATGCCAAACACTGGGCACAGAGCTAGCCAACTCAATCTAAAGTCTCCTGGAAACATTTGAACTGTGCTAATTCTGGGATCTTTGCTCTGCTCTGCTCTTTTTCTCTGCCCTCTCCCTCTTGTAAAAAGCCACGTGCAAGGAATTTCTTCTGCAGCACTGAGACCTTTAGCCTGGACATTAAGACACTGAGTCTATAAAAGAATATTCAACACGTGCCAAAGCTGGGTTATTTCCCTGCAACAGGAGCACATCTGTAAGTGCCCTTGGCCACAGCACTCCTTTGCTCTTTGCATTCTCTGGGCAGGTGTTGGTGCTCTGCTGAACAGCCACATACTGTGGAACGTGCCATGGAAACACAACACATGCAGAAGAGCTGGCCCTGCATTCTTTCCTCAGGCCTGCTGCTGCATTGAAATAGCCTCACTAAAACGTCTGGGCTTGCAAGCTTGTTGCTGATCTTCCCAAGCAATAGAATTTGAGATTTTCCAGCTGCGGCTGGGAATGCTTGCATCCTTTCCCATCTGTAACCTGGGTGCTGATGCCTGTTCCTTTGTTTTGCTAACTTTACTACCACAACAGCAATTAGGATAAGGTATAATTATAAAGTTTGCCCTGGGACATATGAAAGGCCATTGGGCTGTATTCC